AAAACATTGTACTCTAAGTCATCAACTTTCCATGTGGTTTTGTCTTGCAAAATGAAAGTTTTTCACTTCCTTTTTCACCCACTTTGCCTCATGCTCACCACAGGTATCCCAAGTACACCAAGCACGCACATACATACATACATACATACATATACATCACAACACCCAACTTAGGAACTCACTTGTGTGTATGTGTAGGTGGGTGGTATGTGTGTGAATTAGTGAATACACACATATATACATATATAGATATCATTGGGTGTGTGTGGTATACGAATTAATAATCCACATATGTGTATTGGATGTGTAGGTGTTGGCAACTGGTAACTGACTCTGTCTAAACTTAGTGTGCATAGCGTGTATGGGCTTAAACTGGTGATAGGTATGCATGAACCTAAACTAGTTATTTTGAACATGTGTGTATCTGAGTTGCAAGTGTGTGTGTGTGTGTGTGTATGTATGTGTGTGTATATATATGGCATTGTGTGCATGATATACGAATTAGTGATCTGCGTCTAATTTTTGGAGTGTATAGTGTATGTGCTTGAATTGGTGATAGGTATGCATGTGCCTAGGCTAGTTTGGATGTGTACTGGTTTGGATGTGTATGTGCCTGAGCTGGTAGTGTGCGTGTGTATGCACCTAATTGATCTGTGTGTTTGTATAAGTGCAATAGTGTCACACCCTCCTGTCTAACGGCACAATATTGAGATCCTGAGAGTTGGCCTAGCCCCACAGGGTAACACCCTAATCATTAAGACACTGGGCTAAAACCGTAAGGGGTGGAGGGGCTTCTTCTCTTCCCTCCCTTACAAAGCCAGAATTTTGGGACTTGCACTCAGGTGCACACTTATGGTGTCATGAATCTCCACAGCCTACTAAGCATGCTCAGAAGGTGTGTAGATGCTTGCATTTTCACACAGCACTTGGAACAGGATTGCAAACTCTGTAACTGCCAATTTTGGCTCTTAGGCCAGCTGGGTAACTGCCAGCTGAGAGAATAATGTAAAAGAATTCTGCCCAAAATGTCAATAATTTAATAAAGCTTTGAAGTAAAATTTGGCAAAACAAAATCATCTTATTAAACAAACAAGAATAATATAAAATCAAAATACTAAACAAGAGGTCAAATGTCTGAAAAGAAACTATAGCTACAATTCTGAAATTTGATGTGTATAGTGGACTGCCATTCCAGGGTTTTTTTGTGGTCTCAGCAGTCCATCTGTACAAAATGACTCACAGGAATGGAGCCCATACATACCTCCTCTGGGCAATGAATCATTGAAGAAACCTTCAATGGCTTCACATGTGCTCCCATCTCCTCCACATACACGACATCTATCCTCCTTAGCATCAGAACCCAAAATATTATCACAACCTACATGCTGAGAAGAGATAAGGTAAAATAAGCGTTGTAGCAGGAAGTGGTTTCCTGGGCCACTATCTGAACACAACTAATACATAACTTGGCGTTTTTAGTATCTTTCAGAGAAAAATCTAACAGTGTTTTAAACATACCACTGGATTACATCTTAAAACAATTATCATGTAGTATTAAACAGTGTCCCAAAATATTATGGATCTGTCCAAAGGGTTCCCTTCCAGCCCAATGATTCCATTATAATTTTGTTCTACCTTTATTCCTTTGTTAAAGCAAAACTGTTCTGTATTGCCTTTAAATAGGTGCTTAAAACAAGTATTGCTGTATTTCTGCTTCTTTAACCTTTCCAACTTCCCCACCTTTGCTCTCTTAACCTATAGAAAAGGCTTTCAGTTAAATAACAACAAAATGATAATAAGTACTTAAATCTATGTGCTCACTGCAAGATCAAGCAGACTGAAAGGTTGAGTTAGACACGTATAATCTGGATATGATTTGTGTAGAATCTGGATATGATTTTATCTTACATCTATTCTACAGCATCAGTTATACAGGGAGATGTTTATCTTACTTTACCAGTCAGAGACAATATGCCAGAATAACAGTAGATGATGATGATAATACCTAGTGTTTTATACTTAGAGTGTAAAATAGGTCCTACAGAAGATAGGCTTGAAAGAACCTCTGCAAAAAATCATGAAAGGGAAGAAAGTCATTAAAGTTAACAGCTGATATGTTAACGGGGTTATACAAAGCGAGTATCTATATGGAATGATCAGCGCATCATATCCTTATGAATTAAGGAATTACCTCTTCTAGAGAATTGGAGAAAATAGATGCCAGGAAAAAAGGGAAGGCTACTTAGTAATAGAAGACAAATGGAACAGAATGAACACTGTAGTTCTATTTTTTCCAATAATTATAATATGAAGAAGAATCAAATCATATCCACAACAGAACAGATGGCAGACACGTGGATGTAATTTATATTGGGCTTACTGCCTGCAAATACTATTTTTCTACCAATATGCTTGAAAAGAATGCAGATGTGATAACAGAAGTTAAGAATTCAAAATGTTTTCAGTATATGACAAGTTAATAACTAAGCCATGAAAACTTTAGTTTTCTTACTGATCAGAAAAAACACTGATCAGGCTAAAATAGCTCCTTGCCTAATCCAATGGGAATAAACCTAAGTTCTATTTCTGGCAATTTAGTAAATAAAGCATTATCTGTAAGCAACACAAGGCTCCTGTATTTATTACATCAGCATTCTATAGATCATATCTTGTAATTTTTTTCTCAATTCAGCAATGAAATACATGGCAATTTTTTTTTGCACTTATCAACTCTGACCCAATCAAAAATAAATCTTGTAAATATAAAACCTAGTTCTCCTTTCAGCAAAGTGCTTAAAATAACGTACTAGATCAAGTGAAGCTGGAAGGTTTTTTAAGTTACCTATACTATCCAGATATTTAAATATATGGATTAGGAACTTCACTGAATCCAGACTTTAATGGAAGTACAGCACTACAACTATACTTTTAGCAGAATTAACCCTCTATCTCTCTCCATGTTCCTGTAATGTATACTTGTTTTATGCTCATTCCAATGAATTCGACAAGACAATCTGACCTCTTGTAAAAGACAAATGAACTACAAAGCAAAATTGACAATTTGAGGGTAACAAATCCAACCAACCAACAATTCTCTTTAGGGAAACGGAAGAGTATAATGCTGGAGTTTCTTCAACTCCATTTAAAGTCAGCAGGAGTTGAGGATACTCAGAAACTTCTGGAGTCAAGGCCCCAGAATATACAGCTTATGATCAGGAAACACATGCCAACAGAAAATGTGATTACATATTTACACATGTACATGAAAAAAACTAATGTAAAATTCAAAACATTTAAGAGAATGTCATCCAAAGTGGTCAATGTCCCAAATATTTTTTTTCAATTTAAAATCATTTCAGGGGTCTGTCTCTACCACAACTAAAAAGTTATAAAAAGTCACAGTAATTATGAAATGAGATGAGAGGATTATATTTTTTTTCCTCCTAGTTACATAAGAGTTCAACTGGCACTCTCAACAACCCTTTTTTTATAAAACCAGGGTGTAAAACTCATCCTGATCCATGGGCCAAATGGGTAGTGCAGGGCCAGACTGTGGGCCAGATTGGGCCCACAGACCAGTCCTGTGTCCTGGATATGACTGGTGGGGCTGGCCCCATGTGGGTGTTGCTTGTAGCATGTGCACTGGATCCAGCCCTATGCTGGATACAGCGGGTCTGCTAGATCCAGCCAGATGCATGCTGCATACAGCATGTAGATCCAGTCCAAATACTGCAGGCAGCACCATGGGCTGCATGATAGAGCTCCATGGGCCCTCATGCAGCCTTCAGGATGTATCTTTGACACCCCTGATCCAGAATAATACAATCTGTACCAAAACTAAAAAGCTATATAGAATTATCATTGGTACATACGAAACACTGAGGTGATCGATAGGTACTTTACAAAATGTATTCAACCTTGCATTCTCCATTGATGCAGATATCCAGTGAATCAACATTGCATTGAGTTCCATCTATTACTGCAGGGGCACGTTCAGTGTAAAAGTTGTAACCTTCAGCCAAACAGTTTAATGCACATGGTTTAACCCCACCTAGAAAAGCAAAGCAAAAGAAAAAAACAAACCTGTTTAAAAGCCTAGAGAAAATTAGATTGGTCGGTACAGTCTCATCTCTTCTCATCACCCACAGATTTTTAAGACTTATTTTACTGCTACTTGATTCTTTCTTTCTAAAAATATTATTTCAGCTTATACCAAAGCATCCTATAGTTAAGTCAAGAGTTAAGTAACTATAGTTATTACTATATAACTATATTTATAGTTAAAAGATTCTCTAATGCTACTATAACTTAGTGAACAATTTAAAATTAATAAAAATATTATTTAAAAACTCTAGTACCAACAGTATAGTTATGGAAATATATCAAAAGGTATGCAATATGCTTAAAAAGGTGAATAACATTTGGAGCACTAGGACCTGAATTTAAAGGGAATATATCTGTTCTCTCTTTTCTTGATGGCTTATAAGACTGTAGGCTCAATTATTTGTGGAAATTAATGAGTTTGTCTGATTGCCTGATTTTGAACAAAATCTGTTACTTAAATATCTAGGGGTACCTGCAGACTTTAAAAAAAATGGTGCTTTACTTTAAACTCAGCTCATTCTCTTGCTGAGCCCCGTGCATACGTAGGAGAGGCAGTGCATTACTTCAACCTGGCTGTGCAGCGTCTATAAAGATTGGGTGCTTTAGTGGGGCTTTTTTGGTGCTTTTATCTAGTAGTTGATTGAATCAGCTTTAGCTAAATGGCAAAAAGCCCTGCTGAAGCACCTGCCTAGGCAGGGGATCAGACTTGATCTGCTGAAGTCCCTTCCAACCCTAACATCTATGAATCTATGAAGTAATGTGCTGCTTCGTCCAATAAAGCGTTTGGGCAGGGGAAGGAAGGGTAACATCTGCAAGCAACTTAGGTGTCCTTATTTGCACTAGCAAATAATTATGCCATCACAATTTGATTCACTTAGTAATCCTCAGATGTGCTACGTGTCCACAGCTCCCACTGATTTTATTGAGAGCGAAAGAGGCTCTGTTCTTTGCAGGATAAGGCCCAAAATTATATGTGCACAGAGAAAAAGACTGAGTTTAAATATCAGGCCACTTGAAACAGTATCTCACACAAGCACTAAAAAAATTATCTTAAACAGCTAAGTAACAACAAGGCACTAAAACTGCAAATATTAAGCAGAATTCTCAGCTGTGTAAGGAGTAGGCAAGAAACAAGTTCTTGTACAGAGATAATTTCCTTTCTTGTTTTTCATGTCCTTTTTATTGCTTACTATGCTAGCTGACATGTGGGTTATGGAATCTTAGAACTGCAATATGATCATTAGACAAGTGATTTTTCTTTTATGGTTAACATCCACAGTATTCTAAATCCATTAAAGCTTCCAGTGTGTTTTAGATCAGGACGATCCAAGGTCTAAGCAGCCGAGGGCCGCAGGCCCCCTGGGCTACACTACGCTTGGAAATCATTCCCACTCCCAGCTTTCCAGGCCAAGGGCTCCCCCAACTCTGCAAACTGTCCTACAACACCCCACCCCATCCTCTTGGGTGGGAGCAGGAAGTGAAAGCCAGAGGAAAAAGGGGAGCCAAGGGACTCCAGCTGCTGCTGAAGCTGGAGCAGTGAAAAGAGTAGCAGCTGGGTGGAAGCCGAGAGGCCTGCAAAGTAACCCCTTGCGGGCTACATGTAACCCCATAGGTCACAAGCTGGACAGCCTTGTTTTAAATCAAAAGATAACTAACATTCCTAAGTGAATGTTAGTTGGAAAGGTATTGAAGAAGGCTGCAGATTAATAAAGACTGGGGAAGTGATCAATAATGATGAGTACAGGTCATTGATAAACATGCTACGGAATGGTTGGTAAACTGCATGCAGTTAAACGCTATGTATTTCAGCACATCTAGGGACCAAGAGAGTGGATTGGAGAACTATTTTAGGAAGAAACATCTAAAAAAAAAACTAGGGGTTATTCTAGATCAGCTAAACATAAGCTCCCAATGTGACACTGGCCAATGGGGCTAATATTAAAAGAGGAATATCTAGCAAGAGATGGAAAAATAAGAGAGACTGGAAAATAGCTTCATACTGACAAGCTCCAGGAGCTTGATGTATTTAGCTTATCAAAGAGAAAGTTAGGGGGTTACTTCATCACACATACCTACATGGGCTCTTCAAGCTAACAGACAAAGGTCCAATGCCCAGAAACAGAAGTTAAATGAATTCAGATTAGAAATAACATACAATAATTTAACACTAAAAATAATGACTGTAGGAACAATTTACCAAGTATTATGACAGACTATCCATAGCAAGAAATGCTTACACTAAGAAACAAGCTCTATTTCAAACAGGAATTAATGAAGGATGTCTTCTGGTCTGCATTACGCAAGAGGCCAAACCAGATAATTTACCAATATCCCTTCTGCTTTAAAATCTAGGGTTCTATGATTAGGTTTGTAAGAACACTGAGATGCAAGAGTCATCCCTATTACTAATGACATTTGTGAAATCAAATAGCAAAATCTTGTTTCTGTGTTGAAAAAAGAAATCTTTGCCACATAAAGCAAAAATGAAGAGAATAAACCAAAAGCTGCATCCTAATCCTATGTCATCCGATGTTTGACTCAAGTATGGAAAAATGTAAGTCATTAAAAATATCCACATGAAATACCTTCTTGAACCTAAAAAAGTTAAATTTAATTCCCTACAGAATAATTTTATTGTGTTATTTAAATTCAGGAAGGATTCTCACCAAGTAAAGTTATATTAATTGCATAGAACAATTGAAATTTAAATCAAAATATATTTATTTATATGCTATCAGCCCCCAGAAAACAAAAGCATAACACCAGGATAATTTACATTACCTTTATGCTAACAACAAATTATGCTCTTAATCATGTCAACATAATCTCAGGCAATTAAGGGTAGAATTCAACCTTTATTTTTACTAAAAAAATTATCAAGACCAGACCTTGTGTCACTTCAGGGGCCCAAGTGATTAGATAAAGTATCCAGTTGCCTGGAATGCATAGAGTGTGGCTGGACAAAGGGAGTGATTCCTGGCAATTAGGAGGAAATGAGAGCTGCCCAAATGTTGCTCCAAATTGTGCTCAGGTCAACTGGCCTAAGGCTAGCCCTAGTATTCGGAGCAGATGGTTTTGCAAAGTCAACATAAAGTAAGAACCCAAGTCTCTAGCCTACCTGATCTATACCAAAATCAATGGACCATCTTTCCCAACTTCACCTCCTATTTTAAGTACAAGAAAACCAGGAGGCCAGAGCCATGCCAGTGACTGAAGAAAAAATAGCAAAAGTCAGAGGAAGAGAAAGTGGAAACACGCTGCAAAGTTTGTAGTCCTGAGGCTACTTTATGCAAGCCTGCTCTATTAGCATAAGTTAGATCTGCTGAGAACTGCTCTAGCCTATTCCAGCTACTAACTACCCCAAAAAGATAAAACTGCAAAACTGAGGCATTCATAGCTTTGTTTCTGAAGCTACAGTTAACATTTAGGCTAGGGACAGACATTCAAAAAGCCAAGCCTGAACTGATTCAATCTTTGCAGGTTAGTCTGCAAAGATATTAGTGTTTTTTCACTGCATTCAAATGCCCAGAATATCTGGCACAAAGAGCTAGGTTGAGTATTTTGCTGATGTGCAAGGCAGCAAAAATTCCACTTCCCTACACAATGGAGCTTCTATAGTGTAGTGACTAAAGAAGTCTGTCAAAGTCTATTATGCAAGCTGCCTTTTTCTTCTCCAAGCCTGCACCTTCTACCAGCTCAGGTAAGGTGAAATCTATCTGGGTTTGTATATTGTATTTTTTCCTGCTGTACACAAATTGCATACTGTGCTCAATCTGCATGGTGCTGCCAATGCTGCTGATGGAGGATGGCTATATAGTACAAAGCGGTGTCCTCTTCTTACATACCATTCCCTGAATCCAGACCTCCCCCTTTCACAGCTGACCCACTCCTATTCCATAACCAATATGGCCCTTCCTCTTAGTGAGCTGGTATTTTTAATTAATGATTTTACAATATAAAATATTACAACATTAATTCTATTATATCTTGATTGAAACTCTGTGTTTGCAAATGTCACTTTCTTTGTAATACTCATACACTTTCATAGACCAGGCATATTTATATCTCTTCTAAGTAACACATTACCTCCAGTGTAGGGTTTCCAGTTATAATATTTTCCACGGAAAGGCATATTGTCAAAGTCTGCACATTGTTTTTCTCGAAAATCACGGGACCCTGAAGGACACGGCTAAAGTAAAATTAAAATAAGAGAGTTAATTTCTAATAAATCTCAATATAAAAGAACATGGCTATAATATTATATAGAAAATGGTGCTACAGTCCATCAAATTGGCTCCCTGCTTCATTTTGTGGATCTGACTCTGGCACTTGTTTTATTGTTTTACAATTGGTATTCAAACCAAAGTGTCTATTTTGTAAACTTAGGCAGGCATGAAGTAACTGAACTAATTTAAAGTTAAGTGTTACAAGTCTTACTATATAACTTTACATACGGAATCATGTCACAGTTCACTCTGTAATCAATCCATTGGTTATCTCCTTATAAACACACGTAAAAACAGCTAAAGAAACTAAAACACAAGATCATTTCTGGTAACCGTTCCAGTCTCAGTTGCTACAGCTGTTCTCAGGGTTGTATTTACAAAATCAAGAATGAGATTAGTAACGTTTCATCAGTGGTCCTCAATCTTTTCAGAGCCAGGTCATCCTCCACAATTTTTCTGAATGTGGCAGCACCCCTGGTTGAGCTGCCTTATCTCAGAGATTCTCAACTGGGTGTTACTGCCACCAGGTAAAAAACTGTCCAGGTGGGGCAGCCCTTCCCAGTCTAACCCTGCACAGTATCTCCTGGAACCAGAGGCATTTAGGGCAGATGGAACTGTCCTGTGCACCTCTGTTTCTGGAAGGAATACTGTGGGAGACAAAGGGGCGGGGCAGACAGACACCAGGAAGGACTGCAGCACAAGCCAGCTTTCCTGCCTGCTTTAGCATTATCAGAAAACCCTAATGCAAGAAGAGCATCCATGTATACTCCAGCTCCACACTCAGGGCAGTTTTACCTGACTACTACCATTGCAGAAGCACCCCTGAGGAAATTTTGCAGAACCCCTGGATCTTGTGGGACCTCAGGGTATATGGCACTCCAGTTGAGAACCACTGCATTACGTTTTACAGTTTGGAGCTGTATCATTTAGGCTAGGGACAGACATTACACCTAAACCAGTATAAATGATCAGAAACCAGTTCAAATTTGTAACACAATCAAGTTGCACATAAGTGCACATAAAATTGCACATTAATGTACATAAACTGCTTTCAAAATGGCTGAAACCAGGTTAAGATAAACCTGGATGGATGCAGTATCAGGCTTAACTGATTTAGGTTAAATTGGTTTATTGAACTTATGTCCCAGATTCCCTCCAGGTTCAAGTTAACTCATAACCCCCAGCATCCCAGAATGCCTTGCACCTCCACCCTTGCAGCCTGGGTGGGCTAGCCTTGGCCCAAGCTGTCTGCATTAGCCAAGCAGGGAAGTTTGCTCTAGTGCCCCCCTGCTTCTGGCCTAAGTCACTGCAGGCATGTGGCAGCATTTCTGGCACTGCAGGCACTGCAGGCATGTGGCAGCACTGCAGGCATGTGGCAGAAGTGAATATCTGTTCACTGGCTTATCAATTCAATCTACGCAGCTTGAAGACACATATGAAGACTGAATAGATTCATCCTCAGGCTTTTTGATTGTCTGTACCTAGCCTTAACCTTTATCCCTTGCAAAGCCATATTTTAAGGCTAAGAATTAAACTAAACAATATATTTTGTAACAATTTTAAGCACCTTCTTAGTTTAACAAAAATTAAACTATTTACATATAAAATATTTTAAACAGAATTGATTACTGAATCCAGAAATAAATTAAGTAGTGTTCTTATTTGGGGTGATGATGATAGGTAAGGAAGTTCTTCTACAAAGAAGAATTACAAGAACAATATTTCTTATTACAATTTTGTCTATTGAAGGTTTTGGTTCAATGTAACAATGTTAACTAATTGCCAAACTTTGAATTTATATATAATTTGTAGAAAAACATCTTGCAGTGTTTGAATAGAATAACCCAAGGCAACTGGTTTTTTACAATATTGAAACCTCAAGGTTTAAAATGTTAAGGTAAAGTATCTGAAACATTAAAAATATTCCTTTTAAGCAAGAGTAAAATAACTTATTTGACAGAAATATTAATTGTTAGTAAACAGTCTTGATTTTATGAGCAGCATCAGAGTTTCATAGTTTCATAGTTTCTAGGGTCGGAAG